TTCCCCAGAAAGTTGTGGGACTTTGGAACAAGCTACCCAGCCATACTGTTGAAGCCTATTGCTAAGAAAGCTAACTATTGCTGCTGAATGACTTCTCCTTCGTAGCCTTTCTTATGTTCTGAAGTTTTTATTTGCCGGATCTCAGCTTTAGATAATACTTTTCTCCTGTGCTAAGAACCTATAACCTCTCTAGCCAGTTTGGTCTCTATATGACCACCGGAATTGAGAAATACTTCCAAAGTAACCTTTGCCTCACTCTGATGCTCCGGACTGAGAGCTGGATGCTTTAGATGCTGTTTGTGGGTGTGGGTGACAACTTGCCTGTGCATGTTAAGAGATGCCTAAGTCGCGAGAGATATTCAGCAAGAGCTCAGGTTGAATTCTTGGACTGCCGTGTTAAGTTACCAGCTGTAATATTTCTTAATGTTTCCGGAAAGCAGGAGCAGTCAGCTGGAGCTCTCAGACCCCTGCCAGTGCCCTGGGTTTCCTTTCCGTCTCTGATCTGAATCGCAGCATCACTAGGTACCGATTGACCAGCAGCAGCAGACCCTGCAGGACTCCATCCCTGTTGAAAAGTGGGCATTAACATGGTCGTTTTATATGTCTGCATTTGTCTTGGAGCTCATCTGACTGCCCGGCCAGGGCAGGTAGTCAAGTGCGCAGTGTATAGAATACAGACACGTGCAAAGAGAAAGCCATTAGCTTTATTCAGGGAGCACTCAAGGGACGGGGGCTTTCTGAATAAAAGGGCGAATTAATTTACAGTGGTGAATATGCTCCAGGTCTCCTGTTCAGACGATTCCTGTTTAATTCCCTACCCCCACCCCACAACTCCTGTAGCCACGTCGATCCATCCAGCCCTGCAGGGATGCTGTAATTGTGCCACTCTTTCAACTTTCTGCTGCAACCTTTTGGTATCTGTCAGTTCTGCTAATGTCTCCTATTAGAGGGGCTTAGACTGTGCTGGCTTGTTGCTTCTGGCAGCAAGGCGACAGGAGGCATATTGGAGGACTCAGTGGTGTTTAATCAGCTGTTCTCTTTTATCGCCCTGTGTGTTGTCCTCAGCAGATGTGCATTGTTCTCCAACAATTTAATGTCGCAGCCAGGGGATTCAACTCCTGTCGAAGGCGGGGATCATTAGGGTGTTTTGTCAAATTCCCTACTGACTGAAGGGCACATCAGCTCGCTCTGCGGTTCGTACCTGCACAAAAATAGAACTGTTCTCAGATGAAGGGCAAAAAGAAAGCCGTAGCAGGGAAAGGAAGGAAAACAGTTCCGGCGCAAAAGCAAGCCGGGGAGGTTGTCTGGAGATGTGTTATTTAACGATTGGTGCTTCAGGTCAGGGGTGGAGCTGGAAGAGGCCGATTGCATGAGTGTCCCCGCGGAAGGAAGAAGCAAGAAGAACGCACACCCACGTACAGGCACCGAGCATGCTGGTCTCTGAGATGGAAGTGGGCGTGGCGGGCAGGAGCAGACGAGCGCTATTCAGAGCCAGCTCAGTCCCTGCAGCGGGCAATTTCAATACAGACTCTTCTGGAGTAAAGGCGCAAGAGTGGCATATCAGCCTCTTTAGACATTTTTTAGATGCTTTTTAGGCTTTATTCCAGTATTTGGTGGGCTTTTAAATATAAACATTTGAAAAGGGGAAGCCTGCATTTAATTAAAATATGACGTAGTTCATGCTTCATATGTTCATATAAGAGTGGTTGGAGAGGCACAGCGGGCAGCATTGCTGCCTCACAGCAGAGGGGCCCTGGGTTCAATTCCAGACATGGAGATCTATCTGTGTGGAGTTTGCATGTTCTCCCCATTTTCTTCTGAGTTTCCTCCTGGCCTACCAGTTTCCTCTCACGGTCCAAAGACATACCGGGAGGTTGATGGGCTTCAGGAAGCATTAGCCCTGGTGTGAGTGTGTGACTCTGTGTCTGTCTGCCCTGTGATGGACACCTGCTTTGTGCCCATTGCTTGCTGGGATAGGCTCCAGCTCCCCCGCGACCCTGAACTGGATGAAGAGGTTAGAAGATAGAAATAAATGGGACTACAGTGCAGTAAATGTGTGTCAGTAAAATGCAGGGCGTTTGTACAAGATCATCTGAAAAAATATTTAACCATGTATACAACATAACATACTCCGCTCTACAGTTATTTGTTTACTGTAGTTTACTGCAGTTCTAAATTCACTAACGCCTGAAGAAGGCTCCACAGCCGAAACAGTGTGCTTCTTTTCTTATCTTTTCAGCGTGGAAGAAACCTTTACTTGTTCCCTAACAAGCTATTCCATGCATTAACTGCCAACCATGAAATAAAAATCTCCCTTATTGTGATTTCTGAATCTTTAGTCGAAAATATAGCACTATTTCTAAAGAACATCTTTTTACTTTATGTCCTGAAGAATGAATTACGTTTATGGGAGTTACAGTATAATTTATGAACCCCTTTACACCTGGAAAACTTTAGACTTTGCTGGGATCTCTGATTAATATATTTGTTTTTCATTTTTATCCAAATGAATAGTTCAGTTCAATAATTAATTAACTATTTGACTTATATTAAGGACCGGTTATACCCATCTGCTGCTGTAAGTACAATGCATTAGCTTTCAAGATTAAGGTTTGAAATCACTCATACCGCTAGAGAGATTCCAGCCATGTTCCTTTCTATGGTATCTAATGTCAATCTGAAGCCTGACGCTAAGGACAGCAAACTGTAGCCCCAGGATGGAAGTTGACATCTTGGTAGCACTGGAGCCACTAGAGGCAGCTTACCCTGGCCCAGTGTTGTTGAACTGCTGTCATTCCAGAAGGTTAATAATCCTAGTTTATTAAGCAGGTAAGCTTTAGTTCCAAATGTATTTGCTCCCAGGTCATACTAGAAAGGATTCAGATTGTGCCCACTCCTCCATCCAACACCATCTGTAGCAGAGAAAGGGAAATGTGTGATGCCTGGTAGTAGTCATTATTCATTCATGGGCTGGCTCTTCTGCACAGCAATTGAAGAGGTCAGTGCTGGTACAGTAGGAGGAAGAAAGCAGTAAACCTACTTCACCATCTTTGATTTTGTCTGATTTGTTCTGGGCATTCTTGTGCTGGATGAGCTCTTGTTATTTTTCCTCCTGTTCGGTTTGCCTCATTACATTGCTTTTGGTCGAAGAACAGAAGCCGGTCAAACCAGGACCTGGCAGGCTATAGCATCTTCCACAGGAATCACCTCAAGTGTTAAATAATGTAAAAACGTAATAATCAACTTTCTTAAGAACTGCGATGTTGACCTC